AATTGCAGCGTGCCATTGCTTTCTCCAGGAACGCCCCGCAAGTCGGATCTCGTGCAATGTTGACTTATCGAACTAAGGACTGCGCGCATACCTTGTCAGGGAGGACGACAGACACACACACAAACACACACATGCCGGCCAGCGGTGACAAGCGCTGACCTGCGACCTACCAGGTACTCACATGGCTTCAGGACACCCTTCACCACTTCAGGATGCAGCCTGCCTAAACAGGTGGTTTTCAGGGTCTTCGAACCTTTCACCACTTCAGGACCATTCAGGTCTGAAATCCTGAATGGTTGTGAAGTGGTGAAAGTTCCGAAGACCCTGAAAACCACCTGCTTAGGCAGGCTGCATCCTCAAGTGGTGAAGGGTGGTTTTCATGGTCTTCGGACCTTTCGCCACTTTAGGACCATTCAGGATTTTCAGACTGCCCAAAACTCTCACTTGACCACTTCAGGACACCCTTCACCACTTCAGGATGCAGCCTGCCTAAACAGGTGGTTTTTAGGGTCTTCGGACCTTTCACCACTTCAGGACCATTCAGGTCTGAAAATCCTGAATGGTCCTGAAGTGGTGAAAGCTCCGAAGACCCTGAAAACCACCTGTTTAGGCAGGCTGCATCCTCAAGTGGTGAAGGGTGGTTTTCATGGTCTTCGGACTTTCGCCACTTTAGGACCATTCAGGATTTTCAGACTGCCCAAAACTCTCACTTGACCACTTCAGGACACCCTTCACCACTTCAGGATGCAGCCTGCCTAAACAGGTGGTTTTCAGGGTCTTCGGACCTTTCACCACTTCAGGACCATTCAGGATTTTCAGACTGCCAAAAACTGTCACTTCAGAATTTTCATTCCTGAATTTTCAGCTACCCGATAACCGCTTGTGGGGGCTGCACGTGGGGAAGGTTCTGGACCACGCTGTGGGTTCCACACGTTTTGGCCTAGAAGGCCAAACGTGTGGAAACTTCCCTGGGCCACACGTTTTGAGGCAGGCCCGGGTGCCTCCAAAGAGGTCTAAATAAAGAGGCAACGTCCAACCATGCATTCATTCGCCTGTGAGCCATGCGGAAGTGCTGCCTTGGTATCTTGTGCATGGAAGTCTGCAGGTGCCCGGAGAGGAAGTGGGCAGTGAGGAAGACAACAACCATAGCTGGCCAGTGAGGTAGACGACAGCAGCCATAGCTAGGAGGAGGAAGACGACGGCGGCCATAGCCGCCCAACTGTTGATGTAAACAGAGTGTGCAGAGTGTGTGTGACTGTGTAGCGTGGACATTCAGGGTGATCCTCGTACGTGCACGCATGTGAGATTGAGGGGAGAGTGAAGCTGGTGGTTGAGATAGTGTTCAGCGGCCATAACCACGAGTTGTACAGTTGTTCTGAACAGAGTTAAGAGCAAGTTTGTTGTTGATTCTGAGTTGACGAGTTTGGTTTGCCATCGGTTCTCATGTATGCATGTTGTGAGCAAGTCCAGAGTCGAGTCTGATTGCATCAGTCAATCAATCAATCAGTCAATCAATCAATCAATCAACCAATCAATTTGTGTGTGAATTGAAAAAAAAAAAACAGACCCTTTTTGGTTTTTATTTTGATTTAAATGTGGATTTGGGGGGTGCAAGGAAAATGAGCGATAGCGAACTTCAGAAACCAAGCAGCATCATACACATGAGACCAGATAGTCGTGACCTCGAACCAAAAGCAGAAGTGCAACACGAGTCCCACCAAATAAGAGCACAGCAAAAGCTCATAAGTGACAATGTTCGAATAGTCTCATCATCATCAACAAAGAAGCAATGTTGTCATCCTATCTGGCGCTCTGCGCCCAGACTACAAATGGCAGATCCTATCTAGCCTATCTACAATGCTGCTGGTGACGTCAACAGCTCCCTGAAGTACGAGCAGATCTCGGCCAATGCCGTTCGCCTCAAGCACCAGGTATGTCTCTCGTATCACTCACAACCTCGATCCCCACTCACAGATGCCACGTGCACCCAAGGACCACCATGCGCCCCATCCAGCATACAGCAGCGCAGCTCGGCTATGGCTGCCTGCTCCTTCAGCTCGCCCGTGAGCGCGTGAGCGCTGGCCAGCGTCTAGCGCAGCATGCAGCCAGTGCCCGAATGCCGAATGCGTGGGCAGGCCCTTTCCTAAAGGGAAGTGGCCTGCTTGCTTGCGTGCAGCCTGGCTGCGCTGGGCCACTGCCCAGAAGCTTCCAGTAGGCCCAGCCAGAGAGGCTGAGCCCCAGTCCAAATGAATCAGGCCCTGGGCCTGTGGTGGTTGCCCGTGTCCAACTGCCCGCGGCCTGTGTCTGGTCCATGTTGCGAATCTGGCCCAGGGCCTGCCTCGGTTACATTCGAAAGAGGCAGCCTGGGCCTGGGCGCTCTCAACCAACTGGCGCTGAGCAACTGCCTGAATTTACCCAGTTGCGTGGTGACCCCAAAAATAGGCCTGTAGGCCCTGGGTCGAGCCTGCCTTCACTTAAAGAGGCCGACTGTACAGAAAATAGGGCCCAGTAGGGCAGATCGAGGCCTTGAGCCTCGCTGGGGTCAAATTTCATGTTTTTTTTTTTTTTTTTGCCTGTTGTTGTTTTGGTTCAAGGTTGCTGTGTGCAAAATTTGGTCTCGTTTTGAGCATTGGAAATTCCTCTGCTGAGATTTCTGAAATTGGAATGAAGGTGAATTTGCATGGGAGTGAACTTTTGCCTTGATGTTTCATAGGATTTTAAATTCTTTTTTTCCGCAATTAGTTAGTATGGTCCCCACTGTATGAATTGGTGGCGAGTTTGGTTTAAATGACCCTTGGGTTTTGTTACAAATGGCATGACAAATTGTCTGAACATTTAGGCTTCCGTTAACCTGCGCTTATGTCCTCACACTGTTTTGTGTGTGTCCTTGTGTGTTTCTTGTGTGTGCGTGTGTGTGTGTGTGTGTGTGTGTGTGTGTGCGTGCGTGCGTGCGTGCGTGTGTGTGTGTGTGTGTGTGTGTGTGTGTGTGTGTGTGTGTGTGTGTGTGTGTGTGTGTGTGCTTACACGTGGAAACCAAGGCAGGCAATGATCTGGATGCAGTCTGCAGATGAGTCTGCTGATGAACTGAAGGAGACCATCGCTGGAGAGCTGACAGATCCCTCCTGGCCAGCTTCACTTCTAAATGACCTCCTTGTGACGCTCCATCTTAGGTTCAAGGTATGTGTGTATGTGTGTATGTGTGTGTTTCTTGTGTGTGTGTGTGTGTGTGTGTGTGTGTGTGTGTGTGTGTGTGTGTGTGTGTGTGTGTGTGTGTGTACAACGGGTGGGTGGTTGGGTGCGTGGACTTGTACCTGTTCGAGGACTTTTGCGTAACCAGGTTTTCAGAATTGGCATGACTGATAACCTGGTTTTCAGAATTGGCTTGACTGATTCTGTGGCAGTTTTTTCCTTTGTTCCCAACCTCCTCACCTTAAAGCCTTAGTCACGAAGCAAGGTTTCCGTTGAAAGCCTCCAAGCTGTCATGTCTGACAAGACACCCACCCAACCCCGTCCACAGTTGGACCTCCTCCACTCAAACACCTTTGTATAGAGGCTGGAGTTCTCAGGAGGATCCTACCTGTGCTTGGCGTGCACCACAGTTGTGTGCTCCTTGAATATGGTCTTTGAGTCGTATGTTCTTAAACACACTACTGTCCTCGTATGGTGGAGTTGTGAGCTCCTTGAGTATGGTTGTTGAATGTATCTTACTTGAAGTCATTAGCCCAATACAGTGTGCACGTCTGTTGTGTTACCCTTGGCGAGATTTTCAATTGTCCCTATCTTTCCCTGCTTTTTGCTCAGGTGTCTGTGCCAGGAGGTTATACTCTCCCAGCCCGTATGTTTCCATAATACCATATGTTTTCTTGGCTGATGCGTTAAGTGGTTCTCTTCTTCTTCTCTCTCTCTCTCTCTCTCTCTCTCTCTCTCTCTCTCTCTCTCTCTCTCTC